TATTGAACTAGAAGTATGTTTATGTCATCTTCGTATCGCTGTGTTGCACCATGTTGCGCAAAACACGCTGCAGTATCGCTATTGCTATTTTGTCTCCCTACTACTACGTGTGCCGTAGGAGCCGCAAGGGCCAGCCTAGACAGATTCGAAGTGCGCGAGCGTGCGCGGCACATCGACGTGGCCATGCTGCAGGTCTCCATGAATGACTTGTCGTATGACGTGCAGAACGCGACGAAAAAATCAGACTGGTGGCCTCATAGTTGGCTGTCTTCACGCCATCATCGAGCAGTGAGGCCATCATCTAAACCAACACGAGCAGTTGCGACACCATCGCCGACCACCTGTGTAGATACAGACAACGGTGCTACGAACAGAATGGGCCGTTCGTGCGAAGCCTATACGCACGAACTTGAACAGCCAGTCTCGGGCATTTGCCTCGACCCTTATTATGACGATGCAGATTTCTCCTCAGACATGTGTTGCGCGTGCCCACAGGAGTGCCCCGCACACGACCCTCCTATCAATGCAGTATGTGAGGATTGGATCGAGTTTAGGGAGTCGAACGACGATGGCAATGGGAGGACATCTCACTCCAACCTTGCTGGACTGGGTCCTGATTTTCACAGGCCCAAGGAGCTCAGATATTATGGAGTCGGACAACTCGCAAATGGGGTTCACATCGATGTAGCGTTCGTCAATGTATCCGAGTATACGCCGAAGAATACGAATTGGAACAAGATTGCTGGGTCTCAGGCAACTGTGAACCTGCTCGTTGGGAAATATGTAAATCTCAAGGCAGAGTTTGTGAGAAACCATACTTTCTGCCCTGAGCAGCCACACCTGCCAAAGATCACGTTCTGTGACATTGACCACTACAAGGATGGGGAGAACGAGGTATTATGTCTCGACGGTGTCAGTGCTATCTACACGGTCGACGGTGACATCGATTTTGACTTGGATTTGTTCGAATTCAATACTCTCAGGGATGGAACCCAGGTCCCATTGACATACACAACATCTTCCATCCAGACATCGATTCCAGGCAGGACTTCCAGGAAGTACGTCTCCAGCTCTGGCGAAAAGTTTGCGATCCAGGCAACCTCGCGGATGTTCGGCCACGGCTGCGACAACCCGCAAGACTCAAACCAGCTGACCAACGTCACTTGCCCAGACGCGTCGGCCGCGACCGTGGACCAGGCAAAGCGATGCTTCATGGTTGAGTTCTCCAACGTCACCGAGTTCTTCGTCCGGTTCAAGGTTTTGACGGACATGCCCGACTATTACATCCACCCGTTCGGCCGCAATTTCGCCATGTCCGGGACTTCCACATACTTCGCCGACGAGTTGAGCAAGACTTGCTACACGAACACCCCCACCGCGGCTCCGACATCCACGCCAACAAGTACACCGACGGCGACGCCAACCTCCGCGCCGACGAGCTCGCCTACAGCTGCACCTACTGCGACACCGACTGGCTCTCCGACTCTGGCCCCGACATCTGCGCCGACTGCTGCTCCGACTGCAGCACCAACGATGGCACCCACTGGTTCCCCGACAGCGTCGCCGACTGCGGCACCGACAATGGCACCGACAGCCTCGCCGACAGCTGCACCAACAGCTGCGCCGACAGCCGCCCCGACTGCTGCACCAACAATGGTGCCAACCGTGTCGCCGACAGCTGCCCCAACTGCTGCGCCGACAGCCATGCCTACAGCGGCGCCGACAGCTGCACCTACTGCGACACCGACTGCCTCTCCGACTGTGGCGCCGACTGCGTTGCCGCGGGTGAGCGCGTCAGGCGATCCGCATTTGGTTAATGTGCGAGGGCAGCATTTCGACGTGATGAAGCCTGGGGCCCACGTTCTCCTCCTCGTACCCTTCAATACGCGTCCGCTGTTGGCACTTCTTCGCGTGGAAGCCGACGCGCGGCAGGTGGGTGGCGCTTGCGCGGACACATACTTCATGAGCGTCAACATCACTGGGAAATGGGCGGAGTCCCAAGTACACATTCACAAGTCAGGCAGTGGTCACGGCCTGATGTTTAGCGCAGGCACTGGGGCATCCCACACGGGCACAAAGTGGATGTCTTTCGGGAAGATTGAACTGAAGGTGGTCCATGGCCGCACCGACGATGGCATAGCGTACCTTAATTTTTTCGCTCGCAATCTGAGGCAAGCAGGATACCTCATTGGAGGGCTCCTGGGGGAGGACTATCACAGCGAAGCTGCCACCCCCACGGGTGAATGCAGACGCGCTCTTGACGTCTAATTGGTACTTCCAGTGCACGGTGTTTGGCCGTGACACTAGAATCAATTTTCAATGGGGTCCTCTTGGAGCGCTCTTGTGGCTTCTTTGGGGCCTCTTTGGCCGTCTTGGGGCCATCCTGGGCGTCTTGGAGCGCTCGTGGGCTGTCTTGGAGGCGTATTAGACCCTCTTGAGAGCTTTCTGGGGCCCTCTTGGCCCGTCTTGAGGCCCTCTGGCCTTTGTAAAAGTCATGCGAGGCAGCCCAGGGACGCGCGGGAACGCCCGGGAAATTTGGGACCCCTGCCTTTAGAATAGAGTCCTGAGCACAGAGAACAGGGGACACCATGAGGGCCTGGACAGAAGACTCCACTTCGCGCCGCGCGGCACGGTGGCGGATGTGTGTGCATGCAGAACGCACGAGACAACACTCGGGCGAAGAGAACTATGCACATGCACCGATCCTGGCAAGGCCCATCCTTGACCCAGGATCGGTGCATATACCTTCCTGGCCAAGGTAGGAGGGCGTATGCACCGATCCTGGGCTCAGGATGGGCCTGGCCAGAGTCGGTGTATGTGCATAGTTCTCTTTCCTCTGAACACTTGGCTTGGGGAGGGGCCCAGCCCTGTGCAGCTGCGTGCAGCGCGGGGCGCGGCCCTCGCTCCTGCCCCCGGAGGAGGTCCCAGCGAGTTGCCCACGGAGCACCCAAAGGCCCCCACGAGGCCCCCGGGGCGTAGCAGCCAGTTCCTCCTTTCTAGGCCTCCCAGATGGGGTCGGAGTAGATGGGGTCGGAGGATCGCGCCGCATCGCCGATGCATCGGCGATGAGGCTCGATGCGGAACCCGATCTTCTCCACGCCTACGTCGCCGACGCATCGCCGACGTCGCCAGTGCATCGCCGATGCATCGCCGATGCATCGGCGATGCATTGGCGATGCGGCGGGATCCTTCGACCCCATCTACTCGGACCCCATCTAGGAGGCCTCTGTCCTTGTGGTGCCGGGGGGCCAGGGTCAAGTCGGGCCTGTTCCCATACAGGGGGAATTTTCAAAGATAGTCAAGACATAGTCGGGGGACCATTTTTCACTATGTTTGAGTCCGTGTTGGGATCTTGCCCATCTTTTTCATTAACAGAAATAGTCAAACAAGCATCACAACATAATCAACACTATTCAAACATATCTTAGTTTTCGTCCAAAAGCCGCCTGTAGGGGGACGTGACTGACCTAAGGCCAGGGGAGCCTCCGGCGGCTCCAAGGAAGCTCCAAAAGCACACCTCGTGCAGGCACGGTGGCTGGTCCGACCATAATGTTCTGTGGAGATGAGGAGGAGGAGGAGGAGGAGGAGGAGGAGGAGGAGGAGGAGGAGGAGGAGGAGGGGGGGGCGAGGGGGAGGAGAAGAGGAGGAGGAAGAGGAGGAGGAGGAGGAGAAGGAGGAGGAGGAGGAGGTGGATGTGAATAGCGCTCTCAGTTTCCCCGCCTCTTGGCCCTCGGCGGGCACGGGAGACGGTGCGTATGAGATGTAGTTCTCCGCCGTTGGGAACATTGCTCCCAGGGATGCTGAGAAGCTTACACCCCCTCTCCCTCCTCGTCCTCCTCCTCCGCCCTCCCCACTTATGTTTCACAGCATTGAGTTGTTATTTTCCATATCGAGGCCACGGCCTCCACCGCCACGCCCTAACGGGCGCGCGCGGGCGCCCATGCGGCGCGCGCGCGGATCCGGCGTTCGTTCGTTCGTTCGTTCCTTTCTCTCCATCGGCAGTGGGAGGACTTGGTTGATCGTCAGCGGCGCGGGATCGATGAGCCGACAGTCGTCACTACTGTGAGCACGGCCCAGGCTTCTCATTGCACTCTTTCATACCTAGTATGCCCACTGTAGATCCACTCGTCGGAAAGAAATCGGCCCCAAGAGGACGCCCAGGCGGCCACAAGCCACCCACAAGACAGCCAGGACGGAACAAGACTGCCCGAGACAGCCTCAAGACGGCCCAGCAGGCCCCCAAAGCGCCTCAGAGGCTCCAAGAGGACCCCAAGAGCGCCCCAAGAAGCAATACTTGACAATCTGTTACGGGAAACCGGATGTCTTAAGTGTACGTGTTTAGTGTATACCTGTGTTTACTTTGACGAGCGTCCACGACGGCCCAAGAGGCCCCAAGTATTGCCCCAAGACGGCCCAGCAGGGCCCCAAGACTGCCCAAGGAGCGCCCAAGATGGCCGAAGAAGGCCTCAAGAGCGTCCCGAGAAGGGCCCGAGTGGAAGAATGCGAACTAGAATTCCGATGCCTCCTCCACAACAGGACCTCGAGACCGCCGGCAGGCCCCCAAGAGGCCTCCAAGAGGCCCCCGAACAGCCCCCAGGCAGCCCTTACACCTCCAAGGGATTCTCCAAGTGGGGCCAACGGACCCCCGAGAGGTTCCCAAGAAGACATCCAGAGGCATCGATACAGGCACCCTCTGTGTCGAGAATGTGCTTGTCCTGCGCTTCAGATTGTCTTTCGGAGGTGGATAGACCTCCTACCCTGACACGTCGATTCAGGAATTGGCCGTTCTCGGTCAGTTTTGCGGGTCCAGGTCCGCCGGTTTCGGTCCCAGGCCGTTTTCATTAAGGGGAGATTCACGAAAGGGAGGTTTGTCCACCGCCGAGTCTTCAAGGGGAAGTGACTGGCGAGGGGCGAGGACGAGGGCGATCACCACCCACCAAACCACCCCAACCCAACCCGAAGGCCTCAATTTAACCTCCATTTCCAGTGGGGGGGGTCCGGGAACATCGGAAAAACACATATGGAGCCCATACCCCCCCCAACCCGAAATTCGGGTCTTCGGGTTGGGTTGGTGTGGTCTGGTAGGTAGTCAGGCGAGGAGCGGGAAAAGGGTGAGGCAGAGGAGCAGGAGGAGGAGGAGGGTCAGGAGGCGGCAGTCGGGGGGGCAGAGGGGCGCAGGCGGATGCGACAGACAATCAATCTCTGCGTTCGGGGTGATGCTTAAGTCGGGCGTGTCCCCCTACAGGGGGATTTCCGACGAGAAGTAAATAATACCAAAACAATAATCAAAAAATTATCCAAGAATCGTATGGGGACTATTGTTTGAGTATTGTTTAGCCATTTGGGTGCATGTGTTGAGTATATTTTATGTTTCGTCGAAAATCTCCCTGTAGGGGGACACGCCCGACTTAAGGTGATGCAGGCTTCTGGATAGGTCGATGTCACGCGGCGTTCTCCGCGTCCCGTTGGGAGGACTCACCAGATGACCCCCACCACCTCAAAAAGACCCCATGTCACGGGCTACGGCAGGGTCATAATGACCAGACATCTACCACGCAAGATTTTAAGACCTCTCCTCACCTACCTCAGTGCCTGCAAGATCTCTGGAGCCAGCTGCAGATCCTTCAAAATAGGTTCCTGCGGAGGCACCTGGAAGGCATCACTAACAAGTTGCTCGTTTTTCCCAACCCTCCTTGGTTGGGTATTCGCTTTGAATCGAGCACCGCTCGCGCGTGCTTACTCTCTTCCTTCCTCCCGCCTCCTGCCTCCCGCCTCCCGCGCCCCCTCCTGCTTGTCTCATCTTGTCTTGCCTGGGGGGCTGCGACCTGCGAAACCGTCGCCACGATCGAGGGCTGCTGGTGGGTCCAGCGGAGTGAGGCACCGCGCAGATCTGAGCGGGACCTCGCCGTCCCTGGGGGGTTGCGATCTGCGACACCGTCGCCAGTTTCGAGGGCTGCTGGTGGGTCCAGCGGAGTGAGGCACCGCGCAGATCTGAGCGGTAGCCCGCCGTCCCTGGGGGGACTGCGATCTGCGAAACCGTCGCCACGTTCGAGGGTTGCTGGTGGGTCCAGCGGAGCGAGGCACCGCGCATATCTGGGCGGGACCTCGCCGTCCCTGGGGGGGTGCGACCTGCGAAACCGTCGCCACGTTCGAGGGCTGCTGGTGGGTCCAGCGGAGTGAGGGACCGCGCAGATCTGAGCGGTACCTCGCCGTCTCCGGGGGGCTGCGATCTGCGACACCGTCGCCACGTTCGAGGGCTGCTGGTGGGTCCAGCGGAGCGAGGCACCGTGCAGATCTGAGCGGTAGCCCGCCGTCCCTGGGGGGCTGCGATCTGCGACACCGTCGCCACGTTCGAGGGTTGCTGGTGGGTCCAGCGGAACGAGGCACCGCGCAGATCTGGGCGGGACCTCGCCGTCCCTGGGGGGTTGCGACCTGCGAAACCGTCGCCACGTTCGAGGGTTGCTGGTGGGTCCAGCGGAGTGAGGCACCGCGCAGATCTGAGCGGGACCTCGCCGTCCCTGGAGGGCTCCGATTTGCGACACCGTCGCCACGTTCGAGGGCTGTTGGTGGGTCCAGCGGGGTGAAGCACCGCGCAACTCTCAGCGGTAGATCGCCGTCCCTTGGGGGGTGCGATCTGCGAAGCCGTCGCTTTATCCGAGGGCTGCTGGTGGGTCCAGCGGAGCGAGGCACCGCGCGCAGATCTGAGCGGGACCTCGCCGTCCTGGGGGGGCTGCGATCTGCGAAGCCGTCGCCATTTTCGAGGGCTGCTGGTGGGCCGCGCAGATCTGAGCGGGACCTCACCGTCCTTGGGGGGCTGCGACCTGCGAAACCGTCGCCACGTTCGAGGGCTGCTGGTGGGTCCAGCGGAGTGAGCCTGGGGGGGCTGCGATCTGCGAAGCCGTTGCAATTTTCAAGGGTTGATGTTAGGTCCAGCTGAGTGAGGCACCGCGCAGATTTGAGCACGAACTCGCCGTCCCTGGGGGGCTGCGATCTGCGACACCCTCGCCACTTTCGATGGCTGCTGGTGGGTCCAGCGGGGCGAGGCACCGCGCAGATCTGAGCGGGACCTCGCCGTCCCTGGGAGGTTGCGATCTGCGAAACCGTCGCCACGTTCGAGGGCTGCTGGTGGGTCCAGCGGAGTGAGGCACCGCGCAGATCTGAGCGGGACCTCGCCGTCCCTGGGGGGTTGCGATCTGCGACACCGTCGCCAGTTTCGAGGGCTGTTGGTGGGTCCAGCGAAGTGAGGCACCGCGCGCAGATCTGAGCGGGACCTCGTCGTCCTGGGGGGGCTGCGATCTGCGAAACAGTCACCATTTTCGAGGGCTGCTGGTGGGCCACGCAGATCTGAGCGGGACCTCACCGTCCTTGGCGGGTTGTTTGCGAAACCGTCGCCACGTTCGAGGGCTGCTGGTTGGTCCAGCGGAGTGAGGGACCGCGCAGATCTGAGCGGGACCTCGCCGTCCTTGGGGGGGTTGCGATCTGCGAAGCCGTCGCCATTTT